AATTTAATCTTCTCAAACTGAACGGACACAGTTTGGTGGTAGAACTGCAGATAATCAATTCAGCAGAGTCCTGGATATGCAGGACAGCCATATAAACCATTAAAAAAATGCAGGACCACATATTCAGGGAATATTTCAAAACATTCAGCTCCCATGAAAGAAAAGTCGAGCTGCATTTCCTGTAAACCTTTCTAAATAGTACTAAATAGCCAACCCAACATATAAAATCAGGGCTCTCTGCACACTCATGGTACCTGCACACAGTCTCTGTGGAACCAGCTGGTATGGCAGAATGGACACTTGAGGATGGAGTAAGACAAAACGGGATCAATAGAGTCCAGACAGATGGAGCAGGATCGAGGCAGACTGATGTCTAACCCAGTACACAGAGACTGGGAGGGACTATGATCTGGACAGTAAGATCTGGACACACAGACAGAGGGACAGTTACTATCGTTTATATTTACAGTATTATAGTTTACCAGTTTTATGCAGCTGCAGCTTGGAAGAGTTTTGCAATTTCTCTGCAATTTGGTGCATATACTTTTTAAAAGGAACCAACACTATTGAAGCTGAACTTTGACAGCATTTTAAAGCAGTTTATATACTCAGTGATTGGTTTTAAGTTTGAAATTCTGTGATAGTTTGGACATTTTTGTAATTCAGTTTTCAGTAGAATTAGATTATTTTTGTGGCAGAAACAGTTTTTATGGGTTCACAAAGAAGAGGTACATCTGCTTCTTAAATTTTTCTTTACAGATACATCACTCCCAAAGTACAGTTTCACCTGCCTCTCTGACAGACTCCAGTCTTAAATCACATCTGTGGATCTGCTGCAGCAACAGAGTAAGGATTACCACTTCTAGATGCAGACTGAGATGGTGTAGCTGGAGTAGGTCTAACCATAGAACTGATGAGGCAACAAAGTTCCACCAGTGTGTGAGTGCGAGAGTGAATGAATAGTGGCATTTGAAAAGTGCTTTGGGTGCCTTGAAAAGCGCTGTATAAATCCAATCCATTATTAATAGGCCAAGAAAATAAATGGTGTGTTCTCCAAAGAAAGATCCACGATGTACTATCAGTTTTAAAGAAATAAAAGCACAGGAGGAGACCCACCGAGAGCTGAAACTAAGCAAGAACATTGGAAGAACATTTTGGAGAAAGAGCCAAGTGCCTGGTGGAACTCAGAGCAGAACATAGCTTTCTAGAACAAGAGCCAGTCAAAGACAGACATCCAACAATGAGTCTCTGGAATGAAGGAGCTGTACACCATGAAGACCTGACATGAGCCATGCCTACTGGCTGAAGAAGCTAAATGCACTCCATGACCACCTTGCAACAAAAATAAATGGGCTGCTAACAGCAAATACTCATTCATCCAGCCTCTCCACATCATGACAAGATGAGTAGGCACTGGAAATAACACCAGAAGACATTCCCAGTGTGGTCAAATGGTTTCATAGAGGCGAGGTGATTCGAACTAAAGGGATGGAGCCACCAGAAGTCAGACTAAAAGATATACTGGACAACCAAAGTACCTAGGTGTCCCACAGGGCAAAGGAAAAAATGATAAAGATGCCTGAATGTCAACAAGTCAAATACCTTCAGAAGGTAAGACAGGTGCTCCATCATTGAGCAATGGAAAGAGGAAGGGCAGAGATTAGTGAGTGTCAGACCCACAATCTAAGAAGACGATCCCCGAAGATGAGCTGAGATCAGTAATCAGGAGCATTAGCAGCTATAACCCCAAAACTGGAAGAGTGGCTCCTGCAGATTCCCAGCACAACATCAGATGATTCTGTCCAGAAGAGTGCAGTCCTACAAAAAGCTAAGTTACTGCCCAGAACCCTAAATGTAAACTTAGCACACAAAGTAAGGAAACTTGTTTTTGGTCAGTTGTTTCTTTGCTGTAACAATGTTTGTTGGCAATAAATTTTATACCACTGGAAAGTCTGTTCATTTTCTCTTAAATGTTGCCACATTTGTAAGCAAAATGCATTTGTGGATTAAGCAGTAGAGATGAGAATGTGGGTTGCATCCATGACAAATCTTAGTATGTTGCCCTAGTACATAGAGCGATAACGATATGTATTGCGAAATAACTTTTTCTCGATAGAAAAATTAAACTATTGCGATAGGCCTCACCCAAAAGAACAGCCAATCCAAATTAAGTAGCGCAGAGCCGAACCAATCACAGCCGCAGCGTCACGTCACGTGACTTGTTACGTACAGCACAAGTGCCAAGCCGCACATGTGTATTTGTTTGGGAAGCAGCCAGCCGCCGTGCCGCCCGGGTAATGGAGGAAATGAGTGCGCCGACTAGAGAAAAATCAGCTGAGAGCGTGACCGAAGGTTACCGAAGAGAAAACAGATGATGGTTCCAATGCCGGAGAAATTGTCGAACGGAAGAGCCACAGAAGTTCCGTAGTGTGAAGGTATTTCGGCTATTTCAAGTCTGACAAAAAACAGAGTAGCCACTGTAAGTTGTGCCGAAAGCAAGTCTGGAAATACAATAAACCGGTGCAAGCTCAATCTCTGACTGAAAGCGCTAATTCGTCATTCGCCTTTTGTCAGACTAAAGTAACTGTTAAAACTGTTTGAAAAGCTCAGCTATACAACAAGGAGAGATTGAGAATTTCCTTTTAGTTCTCAGTTTATTTGATAAGTTAGTCAATTTTGTCTGTTCTTCTGTAAAACAAACTAAGATTTATTTTTAGAATTAATATTTTGTTTCTAAGTGGAATTGACAATTTAGTCTGTTTCGTTTGTTCTATTTTGAAACTTAAACGCTTTAGCGGCTGCCTTTTGTGTAGTTTGCAATATTTGCCTTTATTTATCTGAAAAAGTCTCATGTTCCTTAAGTATATCTACCCTGTTGAACTTATTATGGGAAATAAATATTTAAATCAAAACAAGCTGCTGATTATTTCACATTTTACTTGTGAGCAACGGCACATTTAAATCTTACAAATATAGTTATTTGGCTTATATCGTGATATATATCGTTATCGCCTGAAATGAAAAAAAAAAAAAACATATCGTGATATGAAAAAATCTTATATCGCCCAGCTCTAGTAGTACGTTTGTCATACTAGGGCGACATACAAAGTAACTAACACCCATGCATGTAAAGCCTATGTGTGCCAAACACTGAAAAATCAGCTTGTGTATATCTTTTATGACTACCGTCTGGCCACAGCAGGAGTATTTCATGTTAGAAAACAGTGCTTTATGCCTTTAACCAGCCTACACATACAATTAAAGAATTTAAAGTGTTGTCAGCACTCACGGGAAGAGTCCAGTGAACTGGGAGACAAACATTTGCTTCCTCCCACAGGGGAAGTGAACCATCTTCCTACAGCTCCTGACATTACAGCCGACACATGCTCCCTTCTTCTTACAGCCAAAACATGTCTGAGACACATATACAGTACACAAGGAAACAGTAAATACAAACAGGCCCGCACACTTCAATCACAAATCACACCTAGAGGATTTGCTGTTGACCAAATATAGAAGGGTGTTTGCTCTACAGTATCTCACAAAAGTGAGTACACCCCTCACTTTTTAAGAAATATTTGATTATAATTTTTCAAGGGACAACACTGAAGATATGACACTTTGATATAATATAACAGTATAAATTTGATGTCTAAACTGCTGGCAACAAAGGTGAGTACACCCTTAAATGAAAATGTCCAAATTGTGTCCAACGTGTCAATATTTTTTGTGGCCACCATTTTTTCCCCTGAGCCGGCAGCCCCAAACCGTGACATTCCCACCACCACGCTTGACTGTAGGCAAGACACATCTGTCTTTGTGCTCCTCACCTGGTTGCCACCACACATGCTTAATATCATCTGAACCAAATAAGTTCATCTTGGTCTCATCAGACCACAGGACGTAATTCCAGTAGTCCATGTCCTTAGTCTGCTTGTCTTTAGCAAACTGTTTGTGGGCTTTCTTGTGCCATGCAGACCCATTGTATGCAGTGTGCGGCGTACGGTCTGAGCACCGACAGGCTGGCCCCCATCACAACTTCTGCAGCAATGCTGAGAGCACTCTGGACATGATGCTGAGCACGTGGACTCAACTTCTTTGGTCGACCATGGTGAGGTTTGTTCTGAGTGGAACCTCTCCTGTTAAACTGCTGTATGGTCCTGGCCACCGTGCTGCAGCTCAGTTTCAGGGTGTTGGCAATATTCTTATAGCCTAGGCCATCTTTATGTAAAATAACAATTCTTTTTTTCGGATCCCCAGAGAGTTCTTTGCCATGAAGTGCCATGTTGAACTACTAATGACCAGTATGAGAGTGATAACACGGAATTTAACACACCTGCTCCCCAGTGAGACTTTGTAACACAAACGATTAAAATGACAATTAGGGAGGGAAACTCATGCTAATTGGGCACAATTTGGACATTTTCCCTCAGGGGTGTACTTACTTTTGTTGCCAGTGGTTCAGACATTAATGGCTGTGTGTTGAGTTATTTTGAGGGAACATCAGATTTACACTGTTCTACAAGCTGTACACTGATTACTTTACATTGTATCAGAGGGTTATCCCTTGAAAAGACATAATGGGAGGGGTGTACTCACTTTTGTGAGATACTGTAGAGCTCTTAATACATGCAAGGTAATAATATTGAACTGCTCACCAGTCGAGCCGACCGGCGGGCCTCCTGTTTGATGTCCTCCACCAGGAAACCGAAGATGCCTTCGTCTTCCTCTCCTCGCTGATAAACTCCACAAGATGTTAGCTGAGACAAACACATGCATACAATATTATTAAGACAAACTCTTAACAAACAGACCCTCCTAAAGCATTTTTAATCTAAGAAAATACATCATGGTCACTTTATTTGTGGGACAGAAAAATACAAACCATGAGCCCTCTTGGTCTGTGGTGACTGTGCTCCCTCCTCTAATATTTACCTCCAAATAAATTCACTTAAATCATAATGAGGTCATAGAATAAATCATTTCCTTCTTTGTTTGCTTGTTTTATTTATTTATTCTTATATTCGATTGTGACTTGGTTTGTACAAGTCTTTCAGAAAGAATATTTTTAATGCTATAACTGTTGGTCAGGCACTTGTAAAGTCTCAATAAAATATGACTGCTTGAAGCCTGTAAAGACATATTCCTGTGAAAACAGAAATACTTGCAGGCGTTGTCTTACCAAGCAGAAGTAGTGGACAGAGAGTTTATGTTCTTCGAGTGTGACTTTCTCCCCAAACATGGCTGGGTCATCATCACTGCACCTACACAAAGCACAGCCTGCAGATACACACAAAATATGCAAACCTTCATTCAACTAAAAAAGCTTTCTCAAGGCCCTAAAAGACATCATCGTAAACACTCATTAAGGTTTTAACGTATGTAAGGAGAAATGTGAAGATATAGCTTTAGTTGCTGATTTTCTTTTTTCAACAGTAAGAGCACTATATCTAAAACCACAGCGCCAACACAACAGAGCTGAAAAGTCAAGCCTAACACACAACACAGTGGCTGGAATTAGCAGTCAAAAGGTGGTTTAAATACACATTTGTCAACTAAAAAAAACAGCAGCAGGAGATATTGACTTCCAACTGTGTGTGAAAGTCACTCACACTCCTCCTGGACACTGTTTGTGTGTGTCTCCTGCGACCTCCTTGCCTTCTTCTTCATGTTTGTGTGAATCAACCCTGCAGGAAAATGAAAGACCACATTTACTGAGCTTTTACAAACACTGGCATCACAACATGCTGACTGCATGCTCACTACACAACGCAGTGGGTTATTGAATAAATGCTTCCAACCTGACCATATTTCACTTCCCTGAAAAGAATTCCAGGTTGACGATAAACTCCTAAGTTTTCCCATTTTTACTAGTTTTTTCATAAAAATGGTTTGGAATGAATCTAGAGACATATTCTAGCCTCAAATACCTGTCACTGTACGGTCATTAAACTGAAAGTGAAACTAAAGTTCAACATAAAATTTAGAGCTCAAATTTGTTTAAGCTCTAAGAGTAAGGCCTGCACCACTTGCACATATGCAGATATTTCAAGCAAAGTCATTATGATATTACAAAAATTACATTATATAACAAGAACAATTTGACTCATCACAAAATATATTTTTTTAATTAAACAAATAAGAGTAAAAAGTTAAAAGAAAACTCCCCTTCAGCGTAAACTTTAACAATAAAATACATTTAGAATGTCTGAGGATTGAAGAGACAACACTATTTATTTTAACGTAATGTATCCTTTAGCATTCATGGTGCCTTTACGGATGTAATAGCTTAAAAAAAACAAACAAGCCTCCTTTCAGGTGCTTTCGTGCTCTTTCTTTGTTACCTGGGAGGACATGCCTACAGTTGCTCCTACATTTCCAAAAAATATGTCACGTTTTTATTAGTCAGGCAAAAGGACTGTTTTATCCATTTCACTTCAGCAACCATCCTGGTGTTTATACCCGGCAATTATTTAGGGAGAACCAATGCTCTTAAACTATTTAGGCAGCCTTTCAGATTAATGCCACCTTTTTTTTTTTTTTTTAATGCTTTTTTTTTTTTTAATACATACGGTTAAAATACTAATTGAATTGAACAAGCGTATATTTTTAGCAAAAATAATATTTTCTTTTGCTTTTATTTACATTTTACAAAGAGGTCTCACTTTATTAGAAACAAGGTTGTATACTGGAAGTCACTGACGGCCTCTCATAAGGTTAAACGAGCCTGAAAGTCTTACAGTGATGTCTTGTTTGGTTTTGTTACACACACACCAAAAAAAAACAAAAACAACACAGATAATAATATCAGCTAAATAAAAATAAATTACAACAACAATAAAAAGGTAATTTTTATGTCTGGAAAGATTCTTCTTTTAATATTTTCTTAACTACAACTAATATTAGTATTTAACTATAAAAGCATTCAAATTATTTTCTGTGGCAGCTCTAAAAGCTTCCGTTGTGCTAAGATCAACAGCTCTCTCTGTTAGACCTACAGTCAGTTATGACAGTAACTGACCAAATGTTCCTAACATGATGCCTAACATCTTGATGCATTCTCAATCATCCAGGAAAATAAATATCCAAAAGTTGATTCTGTTCATCTGGACGTAGCGTTTTCTGGGAGAAACGTTTCGTCACTCATCCAAGTGACTTCTTCAGTCTCAGCTGACTGCAGGTTTCTCCAATCTTATAAACAGCACATTTGCATAATGACTGAAACCTGCCCACTGAAAGAACAATGGGCTGGGAGGTCAGTTCCTTAATCATAATTATGCAAATTCTCATGACCATTGATCAACAACCACTGACCAAAACCCACTGATCAAAGACCACTGATCAATGGCCATGAGTACCATTCACGGAGAGTTGGGGAATGGCTGCAATCACAGCATTGTAAGATGGCGAAAGATAACCAAAACACGCTGCGCCAAAAATTGGTCCACCCCAAGGATCGGGTCCCCCAACACAAATAGAGTAACATAGTGTACGCTGTTAAGTGCCAGGAGGATTGCCAGGATTTATACATCAGGGAAACCAAACAACCT